GGGTGGAGTGAAGGGGTGGGGCAGGAACCACAAAAAGAGACATACATACATACAACATATATATACACACACACACACACACACACACACATATAAGCACACACACACTGCATGCACAATTATTTGGCAAGTTGTATTCCTGAGGATTGCATTTAGTTTTGAAGACATACAAAAAATGTTAAGAAATCTCAAACCTAAGTATTTAAGAAAGGAAAGTTTTGGCTTTCTCAGGAGAATATCTATGTGTACACAATTATTAGGCAACTATTAGTGTGCAGAATTATTATGCAACTAAATGAAAAACCAAATATTTCCCATCTCACTTGCTTATTTTCATTTAATAAAGTATGAATAACAAACATCTCGAAATGCACAAATAAACACTTTTGACATTTCAACAAATATTCAGTGACCAATATAGCCACCTTTCTTTTCAACAACTGTAACCAGCCTTCCATCCATAGAGTCTATTAGTTTCTTGATCTGTTGATAATCAACTTTTTGTAGAGCAGTAACCACAGCTTTCCAAATGCTGATCTAAGAGGTATACTTGTCTTCCCTTTACAATGGTAAATCTCATGCTTAAGAAGGTCCCACAAGTTCTCTATAGGGTTAAGGTCAGGTGAGGAAGTGGGCCATGTCATTATTTTGTCATCTTTAAAGGGGAAATGAAGCAACCAGTCAAGTTAGCACAATTCACTACATGTATCTCCACTTTATTTAGAAGGTATAGCCATGCAATGGAGTACAGGGATGCATGTGATGGCGCATAGCCCTGCATAAAAATCATGGCCGTCTTGAATGATGTAGACTTTTTCCTGTACCACTGATTGAAGAAAGTATCTTCTGAAAACTGGCAGTAGGTTTGGAAGTTGATTTTAAGTGTATCTTCAACCAGAAAAGGTCCAATTAGCTCAACCTTGATAATAGCCCATACCCCATCTTCACCTCGCTGGCATCTGACTCGAAGTGGAGCTCTGTGCCCATTACTGATCAAGCCACAGGCCCATCCATCTGGTTCATCAAGAGTCACTCTTATTTCATCTGTTCATAAAACCTTGGAAAAATCTGTCTTCAGATATCTCTTCGCTCAGTCTTGATGTTTCAACCTATGAGTCTTATTCAGAGGTGGTTGCGTTTCCGACTTCTTTACTTTGGCCATGTCTCTGAGCACCAAACACCTTGTACTTCTGGACACTCCAAGTAGATTGCATGTCTGGAAAATGGCAGCACTGGACGTTGATGGGTTCCTGGTAGCTTCACGTTTAATTCCTCTCAAGTCTTTAGCAGTTAATTTGTGCCTTTTTTTCTCCACACATTTCTTCGACCCTGTTGACTATTGGCAACAAAATATCTGATTGTTTGGTGATCACGCCTCAATAGCTTAGCTACTTCAAGAGTGCTGCATCCCTCTGAAAGGCATTTTACAATTTTTGACTTTCAGAGTCTGTTTAACCTCGTTTTTGGCCATTTTGTCTGAGATTAAGAAGCTGCCTAATAATTATGCACACCTTAATATATACACTACTAAATACACATCACATGATAATTCTTAAATCCAATAAGCATTCAAGTTTATATAGCTCGGAGTTGAGAAATATGCATGAAAATGATGATAAGGTCAAGATACTCATTTGCCTGATAACTGTGCACATGGTGTGTGTTTTTGTTGTTTTTAATGTATTATTTATTTATTTTTCACAGGATGCTCAACCCTAATTGACATGATGTGAATTAAAGTTTAACTGGGAAACTGATGTGAACTGGGAGACCATATCTGGCAAATGGACTCCTCACTCATCAGACCTCACAAATTACCTTTGGTAGAGTACAGAGACTTGCAGAAAGCACATTATGAGACAATGGCAAAAAGTGTCAGTGTGACCTTTAGGCATTAATATGTTGATATGCTGTTATTTAACCAAATTAATGTTCATTAGTGACAGCTGATATAATCTGCTGAAAGGGACAATGGTGATATAGAGGAAAGAAAGAAAAAAGCCTCACAGCGATATGTTGCCATCTCATTCTAGTGAACCCAGGTATTTAATCTGTTCCATCTTATGTCTGAATAAGCACTCTGGTCACCTTTCTGTAGAAGTCAGAACCTAGGCAGTGTTCAATCTGCTGTTCACAAATTCACTACACACTGTATAATGGACACTAAATGCTCTATATAGTGAATAAATTTACACACTCACAATTCATACAATAAAATGAAATGTCTGACCAATAAACAAAGTGCAGAATGATTGTCATAAATAGGGAGTAATTTCAGACACAGCCCTAGTAACACTTTTATGTCACTTTCAACCTGAGATGAATCTAAACGACTGTAGTGGCATTAGATACACATGAACAGGCAGGCACAAGATTACAGTGTAGTGAAGTGATCATTCGGAAGCAGCTGGTGTGACTGCAAAGAGGAATTGTTTTGAATAATCTGCATGACAACACAAGTAAAAAAATAAATAAATAAAAATTGCCAAAATGACTGGAAATGGTCCAACACCTGGATCAGAGAGCTCCTGTTCCTTCACACAGGGCGTGAGATCACCAGGCAGCAGTAGAGGATTGTGACCAAACCATAAGGGTCATAAATTATACTGTGACTCTTTCTGTAACATTTGTGGTATTTCTGATTAAAGTCACCATGTCTGAACAACACAAAACCACCACTCACTACATACCCCATATCTAAAAGGGTTATATATAAAGAGATAGTTTCTCTTAATGAGTCACTGGTTAGTGGTAATGTTTATGTTGTCACAAAAACTACGATGAAAAATATTCAGTGACAATGTATTTTTCACAATAAATATGTAAGTATTAATCAATAAAAACATTTCAAAATGAAAACTTTTTTTCCAGCAACAAATAAAAACTACAACAATGTTAAAGACACATGTCTGGACAAATTAACTAATCAATCTTTTAAAGTCTTTTTCACTGCAGCTCAAATTAGTAAAGGTTTCCTCTGCCACCTATAATGTAATCTTGTGCAGTAGATTTATCTGTTTGATTTGTTATATTGCTTTTAATAAGGAGCTCCTAACATTCAGGAACATAATGTGTCCGTCATTATTGTTATGTGATGTTAGTAGTTCTTGGGGGAAAGAAAGAAAGAAAGAAAGAAAGAAAGAAAGAAAGAAAGAAAGAAAGAAAGAAAGAAAGAAAGAAAGAAAGAAAGAAAGAAAGAAAGAAAGACCAACAATTGCAACAAAACAGTCAAGAATGACAAGCTTGCAGGTAGCAGCTGGAGATTACAAAAAGGTGAGCTCAGGTACGACTTTTAATCTGTTATTTATCTTTAAACTGTTATATATTTATTTATTTTTATTTTTTTATTGTGTTGGTCTCAGTTTCAGGATAAATGCTATTTTGTTTTTTATGTATAAAAATACATAAAAACGTAAAAGAAGACTAATTTAATGTAACATTATCAGGTGATGTGTCTATGATATCAATGTTATTGTCAGTCTGAAATCTTTCATGTTGCAGTCACAAGGAATAAGCCAGAAAGACATAATGAAGTAAGACACATGAAGTTGCTTCATTTGAAACTTCCTCAAGACATTCACCAAAGAAATATTGCTGGATTCAGGTATTAATGTTATCCCATTAGTCTTCTCAGGTTGGACATGAATAGTCAACAGGGGTTTAGTTAGAGCTGTACGTTATACCATTTGGGCATCAACATTGCGATGTGCTCATACGCAACAGTCTTATTGCAGGAAATGCGATGTGAAGTAAAGTGATCTACTTTTTACACATCATGCAACAATTTCTTTTGCTGCACGATACAAAACGAAAACTCAATCATTTTCCACGACTAGTCTAAAAGTGAAATTTGTCTGATAGAATATAATTTTCTCCAATTTAAGGGTTCTTGGATACACCTTTTTTTTCTTTTTAAAACTGTATTTGTAAGACAAAGAGTTTGTTGATATGCAGGCTCCACATGTGCACAGTCAAATGAGCAAAAAAACAGGAGAAAAACAAAGAACAGGAAGATTTGGTTGATAAAAATTATCAACAGTTGTAGGCCTGCTTCTCACAGTTAAATGAACATGATTAACTGTGATATTGACACTCATAATGCACTCTACCTAACAGCTTATGTAGAAGAAACAAAACAAACCAACAGCAACAAAAATGCTATCAGAGCATCTGGATTAACTTGAAACTTTCTCAAATTTCCCATGTCACACCACTGGCCATCTGTACGTAGAGGTGGGTGACATTAGCCAGATTCTTATCTTCAGTTTACAATGAAGGGCATTCAGTCAGTGAGGTAGAGCAAATTTTTAAGGCTTTGCCTTGAAACACAATAACAAACCTTGATTGACCACTAACAGGTATGTAGTTGTTTGTTATATAAATGTTAAAATGTAATACTTAAATACCTAACTAATAAAAAAGACTTGCATAGTTTTTAGCCACAGATGAGACTAGAACTAACTGCAGAGCAACAGACTGGGAGAAGATTTGAGGATTTGGGTCACTACTTTCTGTCCAATCAGGGGTGGACTTTGTATACAGATAAAGCAATTAATACAACATATAGACTTGTAGTCACTACAAACAAAGTTAGCCCAGTCACTTCATGTTTTCATATTTAAGATCTAACAACAGCAAAATAAACGCAGCCTTTTTTCAATACATAATGATATATGCATAATAAAAATGTTATGACCACAATCTAACACGCAACATGTTTGTTATGAACAAATACTGCAAGCACAGCTGTCTCATTAGAAAGTCCTTTTCCACAGTAGCCTTCAGCACTGAGCTTTACACAAAAGTGATGGTCTTACTTTAACCCTGAAGCAGGCCTTGGTGCAATTTACAACATAAAAGCTGAAGAGGTGCTTTGAGGCTTTTATGTGAAACACAATGAGGAACAGGTTCATTAAAGGCAGCGAGCCATATCATACCTGCTCTCATGCTGTAGAAGAGGGGTGCTGAAAAGAGATTTGGACTCAGTGGTTGCTACTCACTTGCATTGCTGTCAGCCAGAGTGTTGAGGTTGCCTGAGATGTCTCGCCTCCTGAACAGACACACCACCTTTGCTTCCACATTCCCATTGGCTGTCTGCAAGTGGGGAGCCAGTGGTTACAAGTTAGCACCATAATGCACTGGAGTAACTACCTATTCAGTAACCCCTGAAAACCATATTGACGTGGTTAAAGTCACTCCTCGTGCTAAGATGACCTACAGCTTTGCATCATAACATTTAATTCAAACCAATTCAACTGTCAGTTTTTCTTTTCGGTTCTGGTTTTGGGCAGTTTTAATTCTTAGAAACTTCTCTGTTCAGTTGATCATATCTGTATCAACCAGTTCCTTGTCTTAATCAACACTCCCTGCTTGTGGTAAAGTCAGTGTCCTTATTTGCTCATTGTTAAGTAAAATCAAATGTAAATGAATACTTCAAAGATATCGCTGCATTATGAAAAACCCTTATTTTTACTGTTTTGTCCATGATTTTAATCAGTTAGATCTCAATTTAGTCAAAAAAGTTGCCGTGATCTGGGAACACAGCAACATCACAATAACAAAAACCAACAAGTTAAGAAAGGTGTGCAGTCAGGCAATCAGCAGCAAAAAGCAAACAGTTTATCTAAACCACTGTATGTGGAGGAAAGACTGAAGAGTGTGTGCAGCTTTTGTTGAGTGATGTAGCCTTTGTGCTCTTTTTCTCTGAAGGTTAATATTCTCAAACGTCTTCACAATGCTACGTATTCCTTTTGTAGTTATTCCTTTTGTTGGAGCCAACCCCTCTACAGTTAAACCAGCAGCAGAGCTACACTGGCCTTCAACTATCGTCCTGATGCAAATACATCAACATTTTATAATACTGGTATTATCATTGTGAGACATATTTATGTCAGACCAAAATTCTGTGATATGACACCCCTAACAATTCAAGGTCACATATTAAGGGGGTTTATTCTCCCAAAGTTTAACTATGATAACAGTGTTTCCATATTTCAGTCTGGGCCTAGTGAACTGGCCACTCTCTCTTACTATCCATTCATTGGGCTCAACAACCATTAGCACTCAGGACGATGCAGTCCTCCCCGTGCTCAGCACAAGCCCTTCAATGTAAGAGTGTTACATAAATGGGCTTAATCCTTTGACTGGGAAACAAGCCTGTGTCATATGCTGCTGCTGCTGTTATATAAGTGCCTCCTGTACCAGTGTCCTGTCATTACAGTAGCCCTGATTTACCAACTAGTGTCCAGGAAAGTGAACAAACTGGAGGAAGTGATGTGCATGCTCGTGTGTGTACAGCAGGTTGACTGTAAGTGTGTTTCAGGTTTCTTAATATACAGTTTCAACAGACAGCAGCCTGACAGTCAGAAAGTTCTGAGGTTGCAGTGTTCGAGCTGAGAAAACACAAGCTGGTTAAAGTTAGGGTGTACAGTTAATTGAGAAAACACAAGCAAAAAAGCAATCCTTGAACAGAAACATATGACACTCTGGAAAGGCAACAAGACAACCAACCTTGTTGAGCTCTTCTATTCTCCGAATCAGGTAAGGGTTACTGGAGGAGTTCTCAAAGTAGACATAATCTGGATAAAACAGCAGGAAAAAAATGATTAGCTCACAGGAGAATTCACACATTTATCCATGACTGTGCCTCCTAAAAGATTTTTTTTTTAATTAAAAAAATAAAATAAAATAATGAAAAAATAAATAAATAATAACAATAATAATAATAATAATAATAATAATAAGAGCAGTTGAACAACCTCAAATACATTTAAGGTTGATCCCGTTATAGTTCAGATCTCCTCTGGACAGATAAATTCACATTTCCGTGATCAAATCTCTTAGCATGGAAGCCTGTCTGTACAACAATGAGAAGTTGTTTGGAGAGCCAAACTATGTCAGCTGAACAAATGGACTGATGTAAGGTACAGTTAAAAGTAGGGCTGAAAAATGTGAGGAAGAAAAATCATATTGCCATTATTTTGACAAATATTGAAATTGCAATGTGAGTCACAAATTTAATGGTAATGGTCATTTTTGTATTTCTTTTTTTACTGAAACAAATCTTGAACATTTGAAGAATGTGACTTTTTGGCCAGGGCATCTCTCACTTTCCTGATAAATGGCATGTTGTAACATATTTTTAAATAATTTTTGTTTTTAAAAAGACAAAAAATTGTGATTTCAATATTGCACTTGACACCAGTGTGATTTTTGTAATATCATGCATAACTTTTCAGCCTTAGTTAGACATCCATCCATTATCTATACACCACTTAATCCTCACTAGGGCCGCGTGGGGCTGGAGCCTATCCCAGCCGACTTTGGGCGAAGGCAGGGCTACGCTTTGAGACAGAGAACCAAGCACACTCACATTCACACCTACGGACAATTTACAATCACCAGTTAACCTCAACATGTTTTTGGATTTGTGGGAGGAAGCCGGAGAACCCGGAGAGAACCCACGCTGCACGGGGAGAACATGTAAACTCCACACAGAAAGATCCCGGTGCCCCCACCGGGACGTGAACCGGCAACCTTCTCGCTGCGAGACAACAGTGCTACCAACTGCGCCACCTTGCATAGTTAGATGCCATATAGAATAGTACTGAATCATATATAGGTAAATCCTGCTGTGTTCTACAAAGCATGTAACCACTTTTCTTTCACTTTTAACAACATGTAACAATTTGCAATATTTCAGTTCTATTTTATATTTTCATTTCAGTTGTCACACAATATCTACCAACATGCTATAGTAAGTAATCTGGTTGGAGAGGTAACCATGGTCTGAGGCAGAAGTCTTCAACAAGCAACTGCTGTCTAACCCTGTCACCAAACTTATTAGGAATCTTTCCTTGAACATCATGAATGTACACAGCAGATATCTTGGTCATCTGTCCCTTGACTTACTTTTGGGAAAACTCCACCTCTATTTAAACTTTGCCTGCACATAGCCCTGGTCTGTGACCATCTCTAAAAACAACTACAAGTAGTGCAAATCATCAAGTTAACAAGCATGTGACTGGTAAAGGACAGTAATGACAGAAAGTGGCTCATGTGTTCAACATAATGGAGAGAAAGTCTTGGGTGAATAGAGGCAGGCTGGCAGAAAATGACCCTAAGCAAGGTTTATTAGAGTGAAATAAAACCATGCCCTATTATATCTCTGACCAGATGTGGAATGTAAACACGTATATTCAGTCAAGTACTGTACTTCAGTACAAATTTGACATGCTTGCACTTGACCAGAGTATTTGTAATACTTTGTACTTGGACCTTACAGCTTAGATGTAAATATTGTACGTTTTACTCTCTAAATTTACCTGAAAACACTAGTTAGTTACTTTAAAAATTAAGATTTTTGTGCACAAAACATATATACAAGTTAAACTAAATATTAGGTTTAGTTATAAATTAAACTACCCAACAGTTTGCAGCAGTGCAGCAGAAAGGGTTTGTCAATTTATCAATTAGTCAACTTACAGATAATTGCCAAATATTTTGACAATACTTAAGAGTACTAGCGACACAATTTCTCACTATTTTCTGAACTTTTACAAATGAAACAATCAACTGAATGATAAAATAATCAGAAGATTCATCCATAATGACAATAATTATTAGTTGGGCTGATTTGTCCGTGTCAAAATATCTGCCCATGAACATGATGGCAAAACAAAATTTAAACAACTAACTGCAGAGTGGGCTGCCACTCTGGAGCCTCCATGTACAAACAGAACAAGAGCTGCTATTTCATATCGAAAGTGAGCCAAACGAAATCTTTTCTATGCTAGTCATTATATCTACAAATTGTTGACTTTGTTTCACCCATATTTTTATTTGGCAAGGTTTCTTCTTTTCTTTCCCCCTTTTGGGCTTGTTTTGGATTTTGTTTGAGCAAAAAGCTGCTTCATTTTCCTTTGTCATCCAAGTAGCTCGATAGTTGAGAAAAGGACACAAAGGCAAACACAGGAATTACAGGATGGTTCCCTAGGAATTGTGGGAATTTTATTGGATGAGCAGACTCTACACAGGGGGGGCACATGATTTTAAATCACTGAATAGACAACACCTATAAAGTACAATACACAAACAAGTTCACAAACCCTCACTTCACACAACAACTCTGCTACATACACATATGTAAAATTGCATTGCACCGGTGCTGCTGTGGTGAAATCATTCATTCATTAATTGCACAAGCATCTGTGTCACACTGCATAGCCCTAAATCACTGAATCAAAGAATTAACACTGACCCCCAATAGTCAACCAAATGTTAGTTTCAGGAAAAAAGTCTTGGTTGGCCAGTTGGTCGCAGGAAAAACAACAACTCCACAGAAGGTGGTGACACTCAGTCAGTCACAGATAGACATTAGTGTTTACATGGCTGTTCCCTGCAGTCATTGGTAAGCAATGTGAAGAAATCGGGCACTGTGGGATCATTTCAATCCCAAAAGGGTGACATGCAATCTCAGGGTCGACAAGCGCTCACTGGCAGTGCTTCGACGGCTCAAAAAAAAAAATCTTCTCTGATACCGAGACTGGTGGGAGGATCACCTTATGTCCAGCAGGCCGCCAGGCTTACAATATGCTGCTGCAAGACTGCAAACATTTGTCTGTCATTCGTTGATCTAAGTAGCCTGATGTTACCAGTTTAGCATCCCCACTTGCTGTAACGTTTAATAGTATGGATAAAAATGTGCTATTAGGATTATTAATAAAACATTTTCCAATGGTCTTCTTGCTGTTTTTTCTACCACATTCAGAATCATTACTGCTTTTCCCGATGTTGCTGCAGCTTGCTTTGCTTGAAATATTTATAATTTAAAGGCTTCATACTTCAGTTTTCTATTTGTCTGTAATGTGGCTCCAAGTTAACAGTGTTACTTAAAACACTGCTTCTCTGTGCTGGAACTAAAAATTGATTCTTCGATAACTAAATTAATCTAAACATGCAACAACACTAACAGCTTGAACTTAAAAACTATTTTGAAACCCTTAAAATCTTTTCTTGGAGGAAATCTTGCAGAGAATGTAGAAGCATTATTTGATTGGCTGTTTGAACCACCTAGACATGGTGGCAAAACAGCAACATTTTTTTTAAATCATCTTTTTGTGGCAATATATTCACATGCACAATACATAAGGATTTAACTGGAAAAGAAAGTAGGAAGATTAACTATTAGGGTGAGACCAATAAATAAGCCAACTTATCAGTATTACAGTGCATGTCACATGATAAGTCACAAGGGAATGCATTACAGAAATTCCAAACTTGGTTTAGCATAATTTAGAAAGAGTGTCACCTCTATGTCGCTTTTCCACCACAGTGCTCTGACTTCAAAACTTCAACAGAAGTGTACCAAGGCTGGTAAAGTTATACAACATAAAAATCACTATCAGACGATTTACTGTTTTACACTTACCAGTGCAGATATCAGTATCAGCTGAGGTATTGTAACAACATTTTCAGTGTTTAACTTTAATCAGTGAGTATTGATGTGTCTGTTTGCTCGGGACCTGTCACTGCACTGTCACTTCAGATGACTTTACAAGCAGCTTTCTGCTTATAAAATCATGAGTCTTTACTGGCTAGCTCACATCAAAGTATTAGACAGACAAACTAAGACAGCCATAGTTTTAAGGTAATAAACACTCGTGGCACATCCCAAAGCACCACCATGTATTAACTTCTACAGCAACGGAAACACAGCACAATGCACATTAACATTCAAACAAGGGCAGCAATTTTATCACTGTTGTCCCTTGGACTAGTACATCCTGGACTACTTAATTTAAGCTTAGGTTTGATGTGACTATTTTGTTGTGCACATTAGAGCCATCACTGAATGGACAAACATTTAATGCGTGCATTGTTACAATCAGAAAAATATGCACACATTTAGGAAAGAGACTCTCAAAACTCTGAGGCAGTTAGAAAGATGACAGGGTCCCGAACAGATGTCATTCAGCAATACGGACAGGAAACTGACAAAAACTCCCGCTGTCCAAAGCTAAATTGTAAAGAGAACACAATATTTAATCAACTCCCTTTTAAAAAGGTAGTAATGTATTCAAAAGTATTTCATTTAGCTGAACAGGAAGGGCGGATTTACATTTTCCATGCAAATGATAGAAAGAAAATATTAAATAAGTCTTGGTGAACACTGTCTAGTCAGATTAGACATTTAGAAATGACATGATAGTTTTGCAGGTGTCTATATTGCCGATGTGAGGTAGCGGCCTATCTGTGGGTCAGTTGCAAAAGGTTGGCTATAGAATTACAAAACATGGCGACACCTTCTCACTATGACAGTGGCAACCTCAGGGATGTCCAAATACAAGGCAAATGCAGATCACAATTTCCCATGCCCCACAATGAATCCACAACTAAAAGATATTCAAAATTATACAAAAGATCCATAGTAGCAAATCCTCACATTTCTCGAAACAGGAATCTTTAAGATAATAGCATTTTTATCCAATAAATGTTACTATTTATCTAATCAAGTGTTTCAGACATACTGTCAAGAACTCAGATAATCAGCTTCTTCAAAATGAAAATCTCATGTTGT